AACTATGAGAGATAGAGCCTTAAAACCGAATTTGGGTGCCCTATAGGCAGGTTTTATTCGTTAAACCCCTGTAGAGACCTCACAAGGATGTGGCCTCTTGGATACGAAAGATCTCCAATAAATCAGATTTACAAATGCAAATAAAGTCATCATGGGAGCGTCTCAAAACACAAACGGAAATAATTGATGAGTTAATTTTAAAAATGCTTCAGAGAATTGCTTCCAGAAGAAACAGTTCGGAAACTTAAGGGACATTTTAAAGGATATTTTCTGCTCCTCATTGTCGGGAACGATGGCTAAATAAAGTTGGAACAGCAGAATTGAATACAGATATGTAAACAAGAAAATCAGTAACTTGTGAAAGTAGATGTTGTGAGTCGTCCCACATTTCATCATACGAAGATTTTTCAAATATAATATTTTTTCCCTCGAGCCCTAAATATTAAAAGCACACCAAATTATCGCCAAACCGCCAACGTCCATATTCAGACGCCAAAGGAACTTCGAAAATCGCCCATTTGGCGGCAAACCGCCCAATCTGGCAACTCTGGATGCGGCAAACGATTTCTACGCGCAGGGGGCGCCCATTTTATGCGCAGGCGATACGGCGCGCAAACTTTCTTCGTTCAAAATCGCAATGTTAGTTCTACCTCACAATAAATAAACAAAATATCATAATAAATAACCAACTGAAACCCTGTAGAATTAATTCCCTCATCATGAATTATTCTCATGTTAATGAATAAATAAATTTAAAAAAAAACAATCCAATTAATGTTTTCCCTTTTTCTCCAACACAAAATTTGGAGATAATTTTTTCTTTTCCTTCTCTATCAAGTCAATGAACTAAAAGTCGTTTGCATTCATCACAACATCTCCTCTATATTCTACTGAAATTAAATGTTGCGCAATCATCAGGCCCCACCTACGACAATTAAAACTTCTCCCAAATTATAATAATAATATAATTACTATAAATACATAAATGAGGACAAACGCTTGACGGATTAAATTGTTTATGCGGCAACATTGTCCGCTAGCGATGCCTCCGCTGCAGCCCAAATACATCCTCCATTTCCTAACGAAGAAACATCCCCCTGTCTTCGCCTCACTCCTCAAAATCCACATTCATGTGTGGTAGCGGTTCGTGCGCCCCCGGTGAGATCGATCTGGAGAAACTGCGCGGATTCGCCGCAGTAAGACCGCCGGCACAGTTTCCTCGGTTTTATAATACTGGATCGAGTGAGAAAACTAAAGAAATTCGACGACTGGGGAAACAAGTTCCAGAGAGCGCAGTATTATAGTTGAATTTTCCTGTGATACGATCACCCGAGACGCGATTACATTGATACAATAAATAAACAACAATAAATAAAGTATCAAAATGGAGATGCAGCCAGGGAAATGAGACAAAGAAAAGCTCGAAAAATCAGACGATCAGTAGTGTCTCATCGGCAATCAGCGGGCGATGAAAATATTTCAATGGATGTTCCTCATTTTGGAGACTGATCATTAGACGTGTCTGCAAGTATGTGAAATCCCCTCGTCGGAGTCAGAGAATTCTTCGAGACTTGAGAGAAAGCTTTTCTCTTCGCGTGTCGGAAAAAGCTCGAGGGGAAAAAATATTTGGTACATAAATAAAAAAAAAGTTGAAAAAAGTGGGGAGAAAGCGAGTGAAAAGCGGAAGGGGGCGCTGATATCAAGACTGGTAGTCGTTGGTGCTTCCACTCGTTATCACACACGACGCACGATCGTCGTCGACGGAGGGCTCGTGGGTTGCGTTGAGGTGGAGGGTGCGGTGGTGGTGGACTCGAAGAAATCGGCGATTAGCATCCCATAAAGTGAAGAGAAATCGGAATAACAGATTTTCAAATTTTTATTTGAGATAATTCAGCGAGAAAGAGAGAGAGAGAGAGAGAGAGAGCGAGAGAGAGGGGGGCGAAAAGTGCCGCCCTGCGGAGAGCTTTCGAGGGGAGAAAAAAAAGAGAGAAAAACGACAGCAGCTTCTCTCACCTCTGCTGCTACTGCCGGGGGTGGACGGTGGTGGCGGTAGTGGGTAGAGAGGTTGCTGGGCAAAATCTTTTCATTTCTGCTTAGAAATCCCCCGAGTTTCTCTCCAAATCACATCGCAGTGTCTCGCCATTCTATTCCACATTTCCCCGTTGTTTTTCGTTAAATTTTCTACATGTGCATTAGCGTGTGCGCGCGGGTGATTGCGCTTTTGAGTTGATTTTCGAATGATTTTAGGCCCTTTCTAAACACTAATTTATCAGCCCCATTGGTAAAGTATTTTTGACAGACTGTTTTCTAGACCTGTGATTCGTTAACGAAGTGTGCAGTGGCATTGCGGGTGGCGTTGCCGTCGGATTTTCATTAAAAAAAGGAGGGGTAGTGCAAGAACTCCCTCTTTTCGATCTGTGATCACTCAAGTATCGTTAATTTTCATAATTTCAACGCCAAGTGAACAGTTTTAATTCCACTCACAGCGTCGTCGCGCTGAGATTCACCAGATGACTCTTCGACGAATCAGCGAGAAAAATACGCAAGGGATGCGTTAATTATGAAATCAACGGGACTCAGTCCAATTTGCCATAAGTAATAGCGTGCCAAAGTGGGACGGTCCCTTGACCCTGCTGGGATATGACGTAATGGCAAGAGAGGTAAAGACACCTATTCATTCGATATTTTCATTTCTCTTCGCTCTGTTTCCCTCGGCCGAGTCATTCGTCGTCATTTCCACGCGCATTTTGAAATCGCCCAATTGGAAAACTCAATTGTTCGGGGGATGCGATTAGATATTACACCGGATATACTCCCTGTTCCAAATATTCAACGTGACCCAGTTCCTCTCGCCTGGTAGATGACCCCGTGACACCGCGGCTGTTCGAGTTCCCTGATTGAACGGAGGGGGGTGGAGAGGGGGTAAATGAGGGTGTGGGTGGCCTAGGATATCGGGGACAGCAACCTCCTTCGGTCTGCGGCCCTTTCCAGCTTGTCGCGCTTCTCCTACTGCTCGCGAATATGTATTTACGAGACTGAGGGCCCGCCACAGCGCGCTGTAATTGTAACAATCATCATTGAAAATCTAAAAAATAATCAATCATGAATTCAGCAGCGAAGGGGTTCAAGACGATTTTGACTAGTCATGAGTTTTCGATGAATATCTCGCAATCTAAGGCAGATAGGAAAATTTTTGTGATGACTTTTTCGGTAGAGCATATTGAGAGCTTCAAAAAAGATATAGACGAAAATTTCGCTAGCTCCCGCGGATTTTGAGATATTCTTCGAAAACTCAGGTAAGTCGAGTTGAACCGGTACCACTTCGCTACTCAATTAAATTTGCCGCCTCTGACGACTCCACCAATGAGGAATGAGCGTGACAGACTTGCGAGATATCGATAGTTATCGACTTTAAGGGTATGTTCTTTCTCTCGGGGGTTACAGTTTATCGTAATTCCGCCGTGGAGATGAGTAAGCGCCGCAAAACATTTTCTTTCATTTTTTTTTTTTTTTTTAAAGGTTTCGAGTTCAAATCCCGGCCGGGTAGAATGGTGCGATCTAACCATTTAAAGTCTTGATCATCATCGCAGAATACCCCAACCGCGTCGAAGCGATGTAAAATGACGATAAAAAAAAAAAAAAAAAAAATTCCGTCTCGCGTTTTTCGAATGCGATAGACTGCCGAGCTGGGGCAGTTCGAACTACCTCTCGCTATTGGACGTCTTTATCTGTGCCATCTTACGATTTGCCGGGGCTTGCTGCTCCTTTCAAGAATGATTGAATTAGGTCAGTGTTTTCGACCATAAGTTGCGGCTACGCAGGCGCACAGCGGGGCTTAGCGCCGCCCTGCTGAAAAACGTGGACCGAGCCAAACATAATTCCGTACTCGACCAGATATTTATTCTTTTTCTACGGGTCCAGTCATTTCAGGAGCGAAGTGGTAAAGCGGGTTGAGGCGACTCGGATCTGCGTATGAAAAAATTGAATTGAAAAATTTTACAAAAAATTGAATTATTTGAATTATTTTATTTTATAAAAAAAAAAAAATTATTCAAATTATTTTATTTTACTTAAATTTTATTCATAATTTGAATTTAAATTATCTCTAGAATTTTAACAGAACCCCAATAGAATTTCCAGAGAACTCGAACAGAATTTCCCAACGAATTCGCCAAGTTTTTCTATTTAATTTTTTCATACGTGTCTTTTTTTAGGAATATCTCTGAATCTAAGGGAGATAGCCAAATTTTTGTAATGACAATTGTTGTAGCACTCAATCGGCTCTACAAAAAAGCTTCTAACAAAAATTCTGCTATCTCCCTTAGATTCCGAGATATTCATTGAAAACTGGGCATTAATCAAAATTAATCAGAATTAATCAAAATTGCGTTTTACCACTTCGTTACTGATTTTTATGGAATATTGTGATTATACAGTTGCTCCTCATGCTAGTCCACTGGGCGGACGGTGGCGGCTTGGTAAAATTCGATTGTTATTTGCGCAGTTGATTAAATTAAAGATATAACAGTTTTCGATTAATCAGGCGAAATCGGTAAATAATTGCCCGAAAGGATGTGCACAAAAAATAGTCGGTTGCCTTGGAATTTGTGTAGGAGTTATGTCGAGTCGGTGGGACTGAAAAAGTGGTTAAGGTCGCGGCGCAAGGAGAGGGTGTCAGCCTATTCTCAGACAAGTGGCTTCGCGCCGTTAGGAGGGTCAACAAGTTCACACAATTAGCTTATCATTAAGGCGGAAGATTTTCAGAAACGTGGAGAATTGTTTGTGGTCCACAATGCTCGAACACATCCTGCCAATATTTTTATTTATTTTATCCTTCAACTAGTCTAAATTAATCACGCATGAAAAAATTTAATAGAAAAAATTTAATAGAAAAAGCGAACGACTTTGTTGGAAAATTCTATTGGATTTCTGGACGATTCTATTAAAATATTTAATAGAAATTCAGTAGAATAATATTTAATAAAAAATTTAATAGAGTTTGATTTTTGTATATAATTTTCCAAGAAAATCAATCAAAAAAAACTTGGAAAATTCTGCGCCCAGGAAATTCTATACAAAATATTTCAATAGAATCGGCCAAAAACAAATAGAAATTTCAATAGAAATCCAGTAGAATTGTCTAACGAATTCACTCGCTTTTCTATTAAATTTTTTCATCTGTGACATAATTATTGTTGTATTTATAAATATTATTGTGAGGGATCTTGAATGGAAAATGTAGTTTTATATTTATGAATCTGTAACGTTTTGCAAGCGCATATGGCCGCATAATTGTGAAAGTGCACAGGCAATATCGACTAGTACGCGTTGAGGATTCAGGGTAAATTAACTTTCCGTTGACCTGCTATCAACACTCCATTTAACACAACGGCCGATTATCTGATACCGCCAGTCTCATGCTCGTTGTTATTCTGAGACCAAGGACACTTTTTGTTATTCTTCTGAGTTGCGCTTTGCTTTGCTTCATTTCGCATTTGATTATACTGATGCAATTTCTTTTAAGGAGTTACGGAGCAAAAGACCTTTCAAGATATGGGACAGCTGGCGTAATGTGAGGAAGGGTCTCGTCGTCAGCAACTTCGAGGAACTTGTACACCGAGGTAAACAGTGGAGTTTTTTCTTTTTGAAAATGTTGAAATTGTGATATTTTTTTCTAAAAATAAATACATAAAATTTCCTCATGCTTATATATTATTATTTTTTAATAACATAAAAACAGATAATTTTTCTATATTTTTTTTACATAAAAAAATTATCTAAAAATATATGTACACATATATTAAGTAATATAATATGTCTATGATATTAATAATATATTTTATAATATTATAAATAATAATATATACGATATATTATTACATTACATATAATACAGTATTATATTATGTATAATATATTGTAATATATATTAAATATATTATATTATATTTTTAATATATTCATATTTTCAAAAATACTTTTCCTCATACTTGTATATTATTTTTTTTAATAACATAAAAACAGATAATTTTTCTACATTTTTTTATATAAAAAAATAATCTACAAAATATATGTACACATATATGAAATCATATAATATATTTCATGATATTAATAATATAATTTATAATATCATAAATATTAATATATAAAATATATTATATTATTTGATATATAATAATATATGTGATATATTATTACATTACATATAATAGAGTATTATATTATGCATAATATATTGTAATATATATTAAATATATCAATATATTTTTAATATATACATATTTTTTAAAATATTTTCTTATTATACTATATAAGATATTCAAGTTTAAGATGGAAATAATCCCAAGTTACTCACAAAAAATGTCACATTCTTTTTTTAAAAGTGGAAAAGAGGAATATATATCGTTGATTGTTGATAGGTAAGGAGAAATTGGGCGTGCCTCAGAATGAGAGCGTGAGTCTGGTATTGGAGTCTGATGGAACGCAGGTCGAGGACGGTGAATACTTCAAGACCCTAGCTAATAATACAATACTTTTGCTGTTGAGGCACGGTGAGAGATGGTGTCCAACTGGTGTCGACATTATACGCGCAGGTACAGTAATAATTAAAAAATTACTGTCCCAATCTAATCATCACGAATACACTGTTAGAAAAAAAAAGAAATTTCAGGTTTCACTGAAAGTTCTGTAAAATTGAAGAATTTTAAGGGGCATAGAGACCCGAATTCCTTCATTTATTTGAATTTCCAAGATGAATCGGCAATTCCATGAGTAATTTAGCTCCGCCCAAGCCAACCCTCCAGCTGTCGAATCGTTCCCACCAAAACTGTCACAATGTTTTCTCGCTTTCAGCCATATCGGCAATCCCAAAAATAGTCTGTGAAACAATTCACGCCCTAGAGTTGCACGATGAAACGCCCTCGTGGAAGATCATGGACAACAAGGGACGCGTCACAGTGGTACTCCATTGGGACCAGCGTTCCGGCGGTTCAAGTCAGCACTCGCAATCGCAGTCCCAACAGGCAACGGTGCAGCAGCCGAAAGGTGAAACAGTAAGTTCCAAGTATTCACCAACGAAGAAGAGCGACCTGAGCGGTCAGCGTCCGTCACTAGTGATACAAACGAGCCTCGACAAATTGGGCTACGGTAAAACAAGCCACGGGGAGCTCTTGCCACCTCGCTACAGTAGCCCCCAAATAACTGTGATAAATCATGACGACATGGTGCAAAAGAGTTTCACTAGTCCGAGTAATAGTTCCTACGGATCGATAAGCACACAATTGCCCCCGCAGCAGCAGCAGCAGCAGCAGCAGCAGCATCATGGCATGACCCGGGGTCTGGTAAAACAGGGAACTAATTCATTCGAAAGCACCACCATTCATATCCACACACCGGAGTGCTCAAACCGCATACATCAACCGGTGCGCAATGGCAGTCCGGTTAATGGGGCTGACGGTGGCCCCAGCGAGTGCGACTTCCACTGCTGCGCACTACACGAGGAGGGGCGGAGAATTGCCGTTCACAAATCCGTAGCGACATCGCCGATACAGGATCAGCATGCTGCGCAGCGTGACCAGCATCAGCAGCAAACGCAAACGCAAACTCCGTCACCGCAACCGCCATCCTCCCTCTCGGACGGTACCAGACGCTCCGGCATGGGCAAAGGACACGTCAGATTTCGCGACACAGCCGACGAGGAGTCATCACCCCGCAATTCTGCCTTTCACATGCATCATCACAATCATCATCAGGAGCACGACAGCTCGGAATCCGAAACGGAAAATACCATTATGGAGGATGAAATAGTGACGTCGGAAAAATTTTTATTACTCATTGATCAGTTGACTGTTGATCAAAAGCATCACTTAAGTATCAAGGACATTGGCATTATACTTGAACGATTGAGCTCGAAGATACTCGATGTCGAGAGGCTGGATCGGGAGAGTGAGAGCGAGGAATGTTACAATTGGACCATCAAAGCTATCATACGGGGTGATGTGCTGAGAGAACTCGGGGTTATTTACAATGGTAATTATTACGCTATTAGTGAGCATCCTGGGTATAAAGAAGAGTCTGAAGAGAATAATGAGGATAACGAGGAGGAGGAAGAGGATAGACTTTAATAATTATCGTTTTTAAGAAAACAATAAAACAAATTAGCTAGCATTGTAACATTGTTTCATCTTGCCTCCCACTTTCTACTCCATCGTTCAGACTAAACGACAGACTAATGTTTGCGCTCATTTTAATCGGGAGAGAGCTGAGCGAATGAGCGTAAATATTCACCCGTTTTTAATTTTGGCTTTTGGTTTTTTGTAAAAGAGGAAACATAGAGTGAAATCTCTTTCATTTGCGGAAAAGGTTTTCCCCCCCAACTCTGTTATTAGGAATTTTTCACGAGTGAGGAGTTGAAAAGGATTCATCATCAAATAAATACGATAAACAAGAGATGAGAAAAAACATTATAAACATTAGATCTAATGACGGTTGTTGAATATGTACTTATTGAATAGTATGTATACTTGTAGGAAACATTTTTTGGGATACGGATGCTCTCCGTAACCGTCCACGACACTGCCCTATCTTAAAAGAGAAAATAAAAGAATAAGAAATAGATAACAATTAATGGAAAAAAAATGGAAAACAGAATTAGAGAGGGGATAATGAAGGAAGATATTGAAATCTTAGGGAAGAGCTGAGCAATGATGATAGTGCGTTCAATCGTGAAGGATAAAATTTGTGATCAGGGTTTGAACGATTATCAATTCAATTACATATATCATAGAAAACATCAAATCACCATTCATTGTGAAATCACGTCCTCACGAGTGAGTGATTATTGACTTTATACTTTCACCACATTGGCAGGAGTTATTTGAGACCGCAGAGTGGACGGAAACAAGGAATTTCAGTAAATGTACTTGGGTTTGGGTGTGTGATGGATATACCACTGTTGAAATTGAGACGAGGATTTCGTAGTGACGGGGTATGACTCATGCAGGTTGGAGAGCAACAAGAAGGTTGAAAAAGAAGGTTAAAATCTTTAGAAGTAAATTAAGTTTAGTTACTCCTGTCAGCCAATTTTCACTTTTCAACCCCACACATACGGCGTCGATCGAGGGGCTATTCACGGGCGAATTGGGTGACACCGCGATTACAAAATGTAATCGATTACCCAGGATTACGGGACTGATTACACTGATTACCATTGCCTATGCGATAACCGTGATTACCAAGAGCACAGAATGTGATTACACGATTACAAATGATTTCGTCGATTACATTCTGTGATTACCAAACATCTGTAATCATTGAAATCACAAAAAATGCCCTCTTATTAAATATGAATTGAGGGAATAATTAATTATTAGAATCTGCAAAGAAATGAGGAAGGAGGGGCGGGGATTAGAACAGAGGAATGCAGTCTCCATCACTCCATCTAAAAATTTGGGCATTTATAAGTGCTATCAGCTAAATAAATTTACTGAACATCTACCATTGATGGAGAATGAAACTTACCAGCAGATAATTTAGAGATAATTCAGTCGTTGGTTCTCCAGAATAAGAAGAAATTTTAACTCTGTTGAATGAATTTTCTACGGACAAATGCTCTGTGCAAAACGCATTGGCTATGCAAGCTTCTGAGCCACAAACATCGGGGATTCCAAGAAAAATTGATCCAGGGATCTCTGGGACTTACCGTTGGTAGAAATGACGCGCGCGAAAATTCAAAAACAAAATTCACGGTCTCACTAGGAGCAACTGCGAAAGATTACACTGATTACAAATGATTACAGTGATTACAAATGATTACCACTTGATTACCAAAACTTGATTACAAATATGGTAATCATGTGATTACAATGATTACATTGATTTCACTGGGATTACAATTGATTACATCAGCGAGTGACACCACGATTACGCCTGTGAATAGCCCCTTGGTACAAATTGAGATTTCAATATTATGTCAATATATATGTGTGCAATTCTTGTGTGCATGAATCATACCCTGTCTTCGTAATAGTTGATTGAAAAAAATTTTAATAATGTTTTTCACATGCGTTTGAAAATAGAATGAGGGCATACAATTTGGATTCAATGTTACCACAACGTGTCGCATCGCATTTTGTTGTTAGATGTGAACGAATGAGATATTTATATGAAAAGTATGTCAAATGAATGGAGGAAACGTAATCCCCTGTGTCAAGATGAATGTGTGATTACAAGACATCATTTGTCTCCAGTAATATCGTTTCTATTTCAAAATTTATTGAGCAAAGTTTATCGTTACGTTGAATTTTAGGGTGAAGAGAATGCATGAAGCGATTATTTTTTATAATTCCTGTAGGATCCCTCGTATTTGTATTAAATCCATTATTATTTCACATTCCTCTCCGGGACGATGAGAAGTGCATGTGAAATTGGAGGAGGAAAAGTGAAAAGATAAATTATAAACTCAATGATTGGTAATGTCGATGACGAACTCGAAGAGCCTTCGCGGCCCTCTGAAAATAATGAATGAGTGCTGGCGAAAGATGAAAACGAAGAACGAAATATAATATTACCGCAATGGCAAGTACGACAAGTTTGCAATTTTAATAAATTTCTATTTCTAAATATTGTACGCGTATTATCCTAGTAGCAATTCACTGGCAGTTGATGAGTTTAAGGGGTAAAAAAACGAAGAAAGGGAAAATGAGATGAGCGACATCTACACATCAAACAGATTAAAAATGTATTGAAGAGTGAAATACGACGAGTGCCAACAGTTAAAGTGATAGAGAGCCGAGACATTGAGAGTCGTTATGTGCCAATAATGCATTTAAAATTCTTCGAAATTTCCGTTATAAATTACCACTCATTCTGCTCACGAGTGAAACAAGTCAACGCAACGGCGGACATTTACCTCAACCACTGAATTGAAAGACGATCCTTTGTTCGTTCGAGAATAAACTGAACACATCAACCCTTCGCATTCTTAAAAACTCCGACTTTCATTTTCCATTTCACCTGCGTAAGAACAAATCACGTTCGAACAATGAATAAAGATATGAGAGTAAAACCTGTACGTTAATAGACAAATATTGCCAATTCTGTACATCAAAAAGAAAAAAAAGAGTAAGTGGAGAGAGGAACATTGAGAGACGAATGAATGCATGTCATGGAATTTTGTGGAGTGAGGCGGAACATCAATTACTGATGATAATCAGCTGGGTGTGATGCTCAACACTTGTTTCTTCTCTATTTATTATCATTGATGACTCAATTGAATGCACTGAGAGAAAAACGACAAAGTTCTCAAGCAAGTCTTGCTTGTGTCAAGAAAATAGTTTTTTGAAAATTATCAAAAGAGGATTTTTTGTGCCAAATGTGCAGAGAGTGCGCCGGAGTGAAAAATTTTTGTTGGAAAAATAGATTTAGGCACCGTCTGGTGTGAATTATCCCCCTCTTGAGCCAAATATTTCGTTGCTGTCGAGTGCAGAACAATCATTCATGTTTGAGACTTTCAAATTGACACCGCGATTACAAAATGTACTCGATTACCCGGGATTACGGAACTAATTACACTGATCACCATTGCCTATGTGATAACCGTGACTGTCAAGAGCGCAGAATGTGATTACACGATTACAAATGATTTCGTCGATTACATTCTGTGATTACCAAACATCTGTAATCATTGAAATCACAAAAAATGCCCTCTTATTAAATATGAATTGAGGGAATAATTAATTATTAGAATCTGCAAAGAAATGAGGAAGGAGGGGCGGGGATTAGAACAGAGGAATGCAGTCTCCATCACTCCATCTAAAAATTTGGGCATTTATAAGTGCTATTAGCTAAATAAATTTACTGAACATCTACCATTGATGGAGAATGAAACTTACCAGCAGATAATTTAGAGATAATTCAGTCGTTGGTTCTCCAGAATAAGAAGAAATTTTAACTCTGTTGAATCAATTTTCTACGGATAAATGCTCTGTGCAAAACGCATTGGCTATGCAAGCTTCTGAACCACAGACATCTGGGATTCCAAGAAAAATTGATCCAGGGATCTCTGAGACTTACCGTTGGTAGAAATGACGCGCGCGAAAATTCAAAAACAAAATTCACGGTCTCACTAGGAGCAACTGCGAAAGATTACACTGATTACAAATGATTACAGTGATTACAAATGATTACCACTTGATTACCAAAACTTGATTACAAATATGGTAATCATGTGATTACAATGATTACATTGATTTCACTGGGATTACAATTGATTACATCAGCGAGTGACACCACGATTACGCCTGTGAATAGCCCCTCGAGACATTCTTTTTTGGAAATTTTCAACTAGCGATTTTGTTGGCCCAAACAAGACTTGTTTGACAACGTGTTTGTTTTTCTCTCAGTGTACGTCAATGCAATATCGAAGTCGTTTTACGACGCAACAGCGAGTTAAATTACCATTTTGTTTTCCGTTCAATCGTCAGCTTTGTTCTTGCATCTTTCATTGATATTTTCATAACATCACACACGTGTAAGAAAATTGTGTGAGGCGTTCAGAAGGGGAAGAACAAAATGAACAAGTAACGCACACCTGAATGCGCGAGAACACTGACGTTGTCGCCGCGCACTTTGTTAGTAGGTAGTACTGAATAATAATAATTATTATTAACGGAAAATAAATACTGGATAAGTGATAATGGAGGAGAGCTAATAAATGAAGAAATAAAAGTGGAAAAAATCTGATAAATAACAACAAGATAATACGTATTTATATCGAGAGCACGCGCATCTGCGAGGAGAGCAGAGGTGTAAGGACTAGGTGCAACTGAGGCGGATTTTTCAATCATTTAGCCGATTAAGGGTTTATAAGAACTAAATAAAACGTAATAATAAACAGGAAGAAAAAAGGAAAGATGTTAGCCAAGAAATTATATATTAATCGATCCCTAGATAAGACTAGCCTTGAACAATTGTAATCGATCATCACAACAAGCTCGATGATCGCTCTTTAAATTCATTTGAAAAAGTAAGCATAAAGCATTATTAATCCTAACGAAGAAAAAAATGACATATTTTTCCATTATTTCCCTTGATTGAGAGTGAATTTTTCAATTAGATTTTCTCAATGGATTTTCAGTAAAAGATATTTCATTAAAAACTTTATTGAGAAGAGTCATTCCTTTCAGCGAGCCCGTGTACATAAATTTTCACATTTTCTTTTTCTACTAACATGAGAGAAATGGAACATCAAATGGAGAATAAATCTTCGATAATGAAGGGAAGATGGAGGCAAAGGTAATTGGGTGAAGAATAGTTGTAAGATTTTTCGAACGTTGCTCACACGTCACACACTTGATATATATCTATTTATATGCTAGCCACATTAACTCGATCGGATCTCACCCTTGAAGGAAAAAAAAAGAATTTGCGAGCATGAATGACTGATGTATGTATGAGTGTGTCAGCGAATGTTAAGGAAAAGTTTATGTAAGGTGACAGGAGAAGAAAGGAAAACAAAATAAATACAATAAATGAAAATGAAAAATTTTTAAATGACAAATTTTATCGACAGGGAACTAGTCGACGAATGGAACAGAGCGACAACTGGAGTACGAATGAATCGGAGGAGAATTCGATTCAATTTTTACCATTTTATCATTTACCATTTATTTATTACAATTTATTAAATTATTTATTATTATTCATTTATTTATTTATTTATTCATTTTATTTTAGTTATTTATTTATTCATTCATTCATTTATTCAATTATTTATTTATTTATTTATTTATTTCAATAGCGAAGTGCCAAAATGGTTCAAGTCGCCTCATCTCTCCTTTCAGTTTTTGAGGAATATTTCCGAATCTAAGGGAGATAGCGAAATTTTTGTAATGAATTTTTTTGTGGGGCGAATTGAGAGCTGCAAAAAAGATCGAAACAAAAATTTTGCTATCTCCCTTAGATTCCGAGATATTCACTGAAAACTGGCCAACATTCAAAATTGACTCGAACGGTTTCACCACTTCGCTACTGAAATCGAATGAATGAGGTTCAAATAATTCAGTGTAAAAAATGAGTGCTTTCTAGCGAGTCAAAAAATTCCCTAGCCAAAGAGATATTCCCTGCAGAATACTAGTCCACTCCTCCTCCGAACTGGCGAATCTGCCCTGGGTACATCCCAAA